CGGGAAAGGCACCGGGGGACACTGGGGGACACTGGGGGACACTGTGGGGATGGCAGCCCCGATGGCAGCCGCAGGAACTCGGGGCTCTGTGTGACAGAGCTGCTCCCTGCTGCTGCACACCCTGCTCATGCCTGCACCTCCTCCCCACCTTGGGGAGCCCAGCTGCAGGGAGCCCCCAGCGCCCGGCTCCCCATCAATTCACAGCCCTCAGAGTCCTCCTGGTGTTGAACAAAGGGACAAATGCGGCTCTAAGTGACGATGTGAGCATTTCACAGTCCCTTCCAGGCGCTCTCAGCGCCGCCGGCCCCTCTGTGACAGCCGTGACAATCCCGACCCTGCACTCACCGATCTGCCGTGTCCCGGGGGCGTTTGCAGCATCCTTGTTTATAGCGAGGAGCAAAGTGCCCCCCGGGCAATTCTCCTCAGAAAAGCATCGACAGAGCAGCAGCTCCTGGCTGCCTCTGCCCATCTGCATGAGGCCAGTTCAGCCTCAGTGACTTGGACACGTCCTCCTTTCCCAGGGAGGTTTCTCTGGGATTTCTGCTGCCCTGCAGGTGCAGACAGATCCCTGGGCACCCAACCCCTCCTCGGCAGGGCTATTTACACAAACACAATTTACAAACAGAACGCATTCTTTTAAGAAAGCTAACTTTATGATAGATTTTCCAGCTGAATAATTCTCCAGGCTAATGCTGAGTTTGGTAAACTACAAAAAGATTTGTCCTTATTTGCAAGAGCTCAGCAAGACCCGAATTAAGGGGGAGAACCCTTCAGCTGTGATGAGAACTGAAGCTGCTCTGCCCAGGAGTGCTTTGGGGAGTGAAAGGTGAAATGAATGATTAGCTTTAAAACCAGCTTAGTGGAGCAGGCTTTTGCCCTGCCAGTCTGTACAGAGTTAAGCAGAGTTTTCATTCTGAGAGTAACCTGAGGATGGAAGGTGCTGGGGTTTTGAGGGGGAAGCACACGGGACACCAAACTGCTGCTGCTGCACAAATTCACACTCCAAGAAAGCTCTTTACTTCCCACAGCAAGAGGAACACCCCCGTAAATGACCCAAGGGAAGGCTCGATGGGGCTTGGAGCAGCCTGGGGTACTGGGAGGTTCCCAGCCTGCCCATGGCAGGGATGACCTTGCAAGTGCCCCCCAGCCCAAACCATTCTGGGACTCTGTGCTGGGTGTGATTCCCCTGCAGCAGCACAGGAGTGGGAGGTTTCGGTTGTAGGGAGGACAAATGAAAGGCTGGTCCCACATCCTGTCCCCGGAACGTGCCCAGGAAGCACAACCACAAGTTCCTGTGTAATAATAACGCAGGTGTTTTGCTCAGCAGGAGACTCCCGGCTGGCCTGTGGGGAGGTGTTTTCCCGAGGGGTTTGGCAGAGCCATGGGGGAGCAGCCTGTGCCCAGCAGAGATGTCTGGGATGGGGCCGAGGAGCTCCCAGCCTCGGCCAGGCCTGGCTGGAGCCCCCCTCAGCCCCAGCTCCCGCCCCAGGGCCTCCATCCCCGCCTCAGCCACAAATGCAGGCTGACATTGTCACTTCTGTGCACTTCAGGCTGCCGCAGCCCGAGACGGCGGAGCAGAAACGCGCTGCGTGCTCTTACACAAACTGACAGCCATCAACCCACTGGAAATCTCCTCCTTGGCTGGGCCAATCCTGCTCTCCCAGAGAGACAGAAACCCCCAAGGTCTGCAGCACAGCCAGAGGAATGAAAGCTTTTGAGTCAATGCCTTTGCTCAATGGGAGTCTCCTTGACGGCCTGAATTTCCCCACACTTCACTTCAAACGAGGATGTCTGGGCTCACCCTGCACGGCAGAGTGGCCAATTAGCATTCTGAGGCTGGAGCTCATTAGTGCCCCTGAGGGAAGCCATTGCAGAGGGCCTGGGCACTCACACAGCTCCAGCAGCTCCTCACTTCCCCCGGGGATCCCTTCTGAAAGGGAGGAAAAACCCCAAAACCTCACTGAGAGTGGGGTACACCAGGAACACAGAAGGACTTGCTACTGTTCAACTGATCCGTGTGCAGAGTCATTTAAAGAAATGGAATTATCCACAGGACTGAGAGGCGCACAGGGACAGATCCTGCTCTGGGGCTGAAGGAGGCTCCCCCTGGGGAAACCTCCCCATTCGTGGTTAAATAAAACCATCAAGCTCTGAACTCCTGCAACTGGTATTTCTAATTGCTGCCTACAGTAGGAAATATGCTATGTATTCTTAATTAAAAATATTAAGGGCCATTTCTAAAGAGAATTTATATTGTTGTAAGAAAAAGAAGGGTTAGAGGAGGATCTGAAAATGGGTGGATCCACCATGAACCTAAAGCTGGCTTGCTGCTGGTGACCACGGCTGGCGTCTCCCCATGAGCCCTGGGCACGTTCAGCTCCACAGACCAGTTAAACACAGCAAGCTGCTCTTAGAAACAGGAATACAGACTGGCTTGGGTAGGAAGGCACTGCAGAAACCATGTAGCTCCAGCCCTCTGCCGTGGGGCTTTCCCCATCCTTCTATCACTGGAAAACTGAAAACAATAATTTCATGTTATTTGTTCCAGCACATTCCACACGTTGCTTCCTTTGAATGCACAAATATCAAATGGAGCTATAATAAATGCTGGTGGTTTTAATTAAATTAAGATAATCAGGGCAAAAAATATGGGTGCTCAAGCCTCTTCTAAAAATGTAAGAGTAAATATCTAATAAAAATTTCTCTTAGGTAAGTGACAGCTTATTTATTTGGACACAGGCAAGTGCTACCCAGCCCTGTGAGCCCCCAGCCTCCAAAGTTCAAGAGACACTGAAAAATAACTGAAACACCATCCTAAACCAGCCTGGGACAGTCAAATGGCCTGTGAAGCAGCATCCTCTCCTCCAGGACACACAGCTCCCATTTTCCTGGCTGCAGCACCCTGCACTGGGTGCCCATGGATGGGGTCTCTGCTGAGGGGCACCCCTGATGCCCACCACCCCTACCTGGGCACTGCCCTCTGACCCAGGAGAGCTTCACCTCGTAGTGGAGTTACAATTCAATGCCTTATCAGTACATTAATTTGGCACGTAAATAAAACCTTCTATAAAACCTGTGCAACTGCAGCTTTCTCTGCTGCTCTCCCCATCATGTTTATCTGCCAAGTAACTCCTTATCAGCACAAATTTGGAAAAAAATGAGGGAAATTGCGAATTAAAATACTCTTCCAATTACTATTTGTCAAATATGCAAAATGAAAAACATTTTCATTTCCTGCATTTAAAAAATGTCTTTTTAAAAGCAGCATGACTGCTTGCTGTCCATACAAATCTGACAGTGCATTTAATTACCTTCCAATAATTTTGTGTTAGGAGTTACCACTGATGTAAAACATAAACCCAGAATTTGTTATTATATCACACTGAAATTTAACACCTAAATTATTAGCAGTAATTAAATAATGTTTACATAAAGACTCTGGTAATTTCAATATCAAATTCAGTATTTCCTCTGTTATCACCTTAAGAGAATAATAATAACAACAGATTAATAACATCTGTAATTATAAACCCAAGTGAGAGAGACCAGCAGGGGAGGGAGTTCCACAGAGCCCCAGGATGAAGGGGTTTCCAGCTGGTCAGCCCATCTTACCTGTCCAGAGCTCTGATCCCTTCCTGCCCGTGCTCCCAGGGAATGGGCACCGTGGGACCCTGGCTGCTGCAGCACCTCGCTCCTGCCCTTGGTCCTGGCTTTGGTCCTCATCCCTGCCCTTGGTCCTGGCTTTGACCTTCATCCCTCGCCTTGGTCCTGGCTTTGGTCCTCATCCCTGCCCTTGGTCCTGGCTTTGTTCCTCATCCCTGGCCTTGGTCCTGGCTTTGACCTTCATCTCTGGCCTTGGTCCTGGCTTTGGTCCTCATCCCTGGCCTTGGTCCTGGCTTTGGTCCTCATCCCCGGCCTTGGCCCTGGCTTTGGTCCTCATCCCTGGCCTTGGCCCTGGCTTTGTTCCTCATCCCCGGCCTTGGTCCTGGCTTTGACCTTCATCCCTGGCCTTGGTCCTCATTCCTGGCCTTGGTCCTGGCTTTGTTCTTCATCCCTGGCCTTGGTCCTGGCTTTGTTCTTCATCCCTGGCCTTGGTCCTGGCTTTGGTCCTCATCCCTGGCCTTGGTCCTGGCTTTGGTCCTCATCCCCGGCCTTGGCCCTGGCTTTGTTCCTCATCCCTGGCCTTGACCTTCATCTCTGGCTTTGTTCTTCATCCCTGGCCTTGGTCCTGGCTTTGACCTTCATCTCTGGCTTTGTTCTTCATCCCTGGCCTTGGTCCTGGCTTTGTTCCTCATCCCTGGCCTTGCCCCACAGCCCTGCATTTCTGTGCTTGGCTGTGGATCCAACGTGGTCAATCACACTCTGGAATTTCTTCAGGGTTTTCCTCTCTTCTCCTGTTTTTCTAGAGGATTCTTTTTCCTTCCTGGTTCCTGTGCCAGCCCTCTGGGCTCGGGCTCTGTGGGACTTGTGCTCCCTTTCCCTGAGGTGAGGACACCTTCCAGGTGACAGCATCTTCCAGGTGAGGACATCTTCCAGGTGAGGACACCTTCTGTTCCCTCTCCCAGCCCAGTGCACATGGATCAGGGATAATCCAGTTATTTCACTCTTTTCCAGGCTGAACTTTTTGCTGGAACAGCGTTAAGCCTTTTGTCACTGTTCAGGGACAGCCAATTATAAATTATTGCATACTTTTTCTCATCATGGTTTACTGACAACTCAAAAAAAAAAAAAAAAATTACAGCTTGTTTTCCTGCACGTAGCTTTATGTTTTTTCCTAAAACTGGGCTCATGGGATATCCAACAAAGCATGGGACGTACCCTGTGCAACGGAGAAATTCCTTGGAACAAACCACTTCATTTTCACTCACATCCATCTTTTCATGAGCTACTCCTCTGGAATGCTCCCTAAAGCCTCCTTCCAAGACAGATTTTTGAAGAACTGTGGAACAAACACGAGCACACAGACAGGACAGGGGCACTTCTGCACAGAAGCAATTTGCCACCTGCTTAGCAGGGAACGGGGATAAATTCAGTGTATCTGAATCAGTGAAGGTGCTGCTGTCAGAGCCTGCCCAGCAGAGCAGCCTGGGCTGCAGGACAGGCAGCAGCAGTGTTCTTGGGGTTCCTGGCTTCCTTGGTGGGCTCAGCTCTGTCCTCTCCAAAGGCTCCTCGGGGGTTTTGGGGGTGCAGGGACTCCCCCACAGCCCAGCTCAGCCCCACTGCAAGTCCCACAGGCTGCAGCTGCCGTGGCCAGCAGCAAAGAACGAGACAGATGCGGGGCTGGAAGGGGCAAAGTCTCTGTGTGGGTCTCGGGAAGCAGGGCTGTCCCTCGGGCAGGAACAGCAGGAGCAGCTGCAGCGGCCTCAGGGGGCTGAAACAGGAGAGGAAAACAGCAATCAGAGGAAAGCCCACCGGGGCAAAAATAACATTCACAGAACTTCTGCAAGGTCCTGTCTACAATTATCTGCTGAACTGCAAAACTGATGAGAAAGGATTTGTGATCCGTTCCATTTCTGTTGTTAGTGGGGAGTGTTTCCCTCCATGCCACCTGTGCTGTGGGCATTTCTGGCAGCACACAGAAATTGGGCAATTTATCCCCCATTTACATGGGAAAAAGGGGATTCAGGGGGTCCCTGGGGCCCTATGGCACAATGCCTGGAGGGACACACCCCAATAAATGCTATGTTGCTCCAAACCCACCTGGCTGCTCTCCTGGAGGCAGGACAGGAGAGGGGCTGAGGTTTCCATGGACCTCCAGCACAGATCAGCTGGAGCTGCCCCTGATGCACTCAGAGGAGTCACCCCAGACTGGGGGTTTGCCCTGGCTTGACAGAAGTTTCTTTGTTTTTAAACCTGCCTAATTTTTCCTTTTCCTTCCCTCTAAAGAAGGAAATTCTGTTTGACAAGTTTTTGCCTGCTTGTCCAGGCTTCACGTTTTTTAAAGGATTTGGAGATTTCCATTTTTGGGTTCTCTGGCATGCCCAAGAGACCCTGCAATCCTGCTGACACAGCAAAAGGAAGGCTCTTTTCTCTATGGGAAAATAGAGATGCTCTAGGAGGAGAAGAGGAGAGAGCAGAGCAGACCCGAGGGCTTACCTTGTGCATGTGGCCTGAAGGACTATGACCAAAGAATGAAAGCTAAAGAGAAAAATAAAAACAAAAATAAAAACTGAAAAGGGGAGAGAAGAGAGGAAAAAATGGAAGAGAAGAAAGAGATTAAGAGTTTACAGTGTGTTTAACTGAGGAATAAGCTGTGGTTACAGACAGAGCACAACACAACTCTCAGGTGAGAAGGAACATGGAGTGTGAAGCGAAGCCCGAGTGCTCAGCTTGGCTCCCGAGAGCTCCCGTGTCCCCTGGGCTGGTGACAGCGACCCCCTGCCCCTGTGAGCCCAGCCAGCCCCAGCCCCAGGCTCGGGGAATGGGGAACAGCAGCTGAGTTCTGACCCTGAAACACCCGAGCCCGGCCCTGCTGAGCTCTGGGCTCAGGGGCTGGCCCAGCTCAGCCCCCGCTGTACCTGAGCACGGCCCTTCCACAAGGCAGGGCTCAGCTGAGCCATTCTGGGTAAAACACACCAGTTTGGGCTGGCTGCAGAACGCTCCATGGCACAAACTGTGGCTGCAGCTAGGCAGGAGAGCAAAGCCCCCGCTCCTGCTGGGAAAGGCTGCTCCATGCACTGCCTTCCCAGGGGCTGGGGTGGATGGGAGGGAAGCAGGGAGCAACAGCCCCTTCCCCAGAGCTCTGCTGCTGAGCCCTCAGCTCTGACCCTCCCTGCCCGGGGCCAGGCTGCCCTGCAGGTTAGCAGGGAGGAAGGACTCAATGCAACCAGTTCACCTGCCCTGGTACAAATGCAAGGTGTTTTCCTGCAGCTGTGCCCCTTTCTCACTGCACTACACACACGAGCTCTCTCTAGGGTGGTTTCCTTGGCCCAGGTGAAATGGAGAATGGTCATGTGCACACACAGCAGCTGTTCCGTCTGCATGACCTTACCTTTTCCTCTAACTCTTTTATTTGTCTTTTTTGGCCTTCAATTCTTTCTTCTAGCTCTTTAATTCTCTGTCAGATTTCAAATAAAAAGATATTTATTAACCAACCAAATACAGATGTACCCGGAAGATGCATTAGTTTGGGGGACATAAATTGTATGTGCTGTGCTTCTACCAAAGCCAGATTGGGTATTAGGCTGCAGGTGAGTGCTCTGTGATTGTCACCATGTGTGACAAAGGCAGGAAGGGCAGGTGAGTGCTCTGTGATTGTCACCATGTGTGACAAAGGCAGGAAGGGCAGGTGAGTGCTCTGTGATTGTCACCTGTGTGACACAGGCAGGGACAGCACGCTGCCCTGTCTGCAGGGGTCTCCAGGGCCAAGCAAAGCCTGTCCCAGGCCTGGCCAGCTCGGACAGCCCCAGGGGAGGCCAGGGCTGTCCCTCCCGAGTGCCCTGGCCCAGACCCACCTGCTGGGCGTGCTGGATGAGCTCCATCCTCTCCCGCAGGATCTGGGCGTCCCTCTCACGGAGCTCGCTCATCACCTGCCGCTTCCACTGCTCCACGGCGCTCTTCAGCTTCTCCTTCTCCTCTTCTGAAAGAAGTTCGGAAATTTTGGCTCCAGCTTCTTGCTGCAGGGCATCATAGAGCATGGCTTCTAATTCCAGAATTTGCTAATCAAAAACAATATAAAGCTGTCAGCTCGACCTTGTCCCCGGCGGGGCGAGGAGGTTGCGAGGAGCAGAGAGTCCGACCCTGAAAGGCAATGGGAGCGGAGCGGGGGCTGCGTGCTGAGCCTCCACGGGGACAGCACAGAAAACTCCATCCAGAGGGAAAACACCCCGGGCTGCCTCCATCCTGAGGGGCTCCGAGCAGCCCTGGGGCTGGCACAGCCTCCCACCAACATGGGGGAGCCAGCTGCTCCTTCCTGGGGACGGCACCGTGGGGAGAGGAGGAGAAGGAGAAAAGGTAAAGGAAGGGGCAAAGGGAGCAGGGGAAATGTAAGTAGGAAAGAGGTTCATAAAAGACTCATCTTCTGAGTTACAGATATTTTTTACATGTATTTTTCAGTCCCTTGGTTGCCCTTTCCTGGTAGCTCTCCTGTGACCCAGCAGAGAACGTAACCTCGCCCCGGCAAAGTGCTGCTGTTTGATACCTGGATTTCTGCTGTGCCCCAGCCTCATGGACACAAGCCCAGCCCTGTCTGGAGAACTGGCCTGGGCAGGAGAGGGGCAGGGGACCCTCCTGGCCCTCTCAGCAGGGTCAGCCAAGTGCTGCCTGGAGCAGGACCCTGCAGCAGCCAGGCTCAGGGGTTTTGCCTGCTAATCCTGTTGGCTCTGCTTCAGGGGCAGCACGATTAGCTGCTCCTCATCTCCAGGGCACAAAGGAAACATGGAAGTGAAGCGAATTTTACAAAGCAGAAGAGCTCTTTCCACTCAAATTCCAGGGCAGAACAAAGCTTCCTTTGCTGCTTTCAGGCTGCATTTGTGCCCTGGAACAAAGCAGTGCCTGGGACACGCGTGTGGTGCCTTCAGAAAACAGAGGAAAATGCAAATAACCCTCAGCCCCCTCTGCAGGGGCTGACACTCCTTGCACTCCCTGCTTCCCATCAGCAGAGTCAGCCCTCAGCTGCACAAACTGCTGCTCAGGACAGGAGGTGATGGAACCACAGAGTCCCAGACTTAAAGGCCACCTTGTTCCATCCCCTGCCATGGGCAGGGAAATTCCACTGCAAGGTGTCATAGGGTTGGGGCCACAGCCGAGGGGGCTTGTGTGCTTTCCAAGGTTTGCACTGTGCCAAGCTTGGCTCCAGATACAGCTCAGAATGTGTCAAAATCAGTCCTAAAAATCACCCACAGGACAGAAAATGTATGGAGCAAAAGCTCCCCCAAATGGTTCAAGACACAAGTAGACAACAGGAGGCAGAGGCATAAACACTCACTGCTCCTCAGAAAGCGTAACTGTGCTCTAGGTTTGTGTAGAACTGGGAAAATGAGATAAACTGAGAGGAAACTTTATGCCTTTTGTGGATATATATATAAAACCTTTCTCTCATTGATGGAAACAAGACAGCTGATGACTGAAAAGATGGGTGAAATGCCTTAGGATCAGCTAATGATGAACCTGACTTAAAAGCAGTTCCATTTCAAATTTACACATCCCAGAATACCTCCAGCCGCTCTGGTTACAGGGGTGTAATCCAAAATCCAAGGAAATGTGCAGGCTAAAATATATTTTTAAAAAATATAAGACAAATTCCTGCAAATCTAATTTTCTTATCAGTCTTTTACGGAAGCTTTGGCTGAATTAAAGCTGAGTAAGTGTTTGTTGAGTAAGTAAATGCTGAGGTGCTAACCCTGCAGGGGCCACTCAGACGCAGGAGTTCTGTTCACAAGGCAGTCCTGGTCAGCTCAGGGTGCAGAGGATTTGCTGGACCCTGACCCATGCAGCCCTTGGGGCACCCACAGCAGCGCTGCCCAGGGCAGAGCCCATGGGCTGGCCCAGGTGTGCTCAGTCAGCCCCGTCTGACTGCCCTCACCTTGTGAGCCTGGTCCAGGGACTGTTTCCTGAAGTCCAGCTCATCGTCCAGGTATCCCTTCTGCTTGCTGAACAGCTCCTGGGGAGCGAGGAAGGGGCTGTCAGTGACCCCCAGGGCCCAGGCCCGTCCCCTGCCGCCCCCTCCCCGGTACCTTCTCGTTCTCCAGGTCCAGCATCTTCTGCTGCAGCGCAGACTCGGTCACCTCGATCTGCTGGAGCCACTGGGGGACAGACAGAGCCTGAGCAGGGCCCTGGGGCAGGGCATGTGCCAGCAGGCAGGCACCACTCCAACAGCAGAGCACAACTAACCCTGCTGGTCTCCTCTGAAAAGCCACATGGCAGAGCCTGGCCCTTCCCTCCTGCCTGGCTTTGCGAGTTCAGCCACGTTTCAGTGGGGTCTGCTGCCTTGCTGGCAGGACACCCTGCTGGGACAGAGCCCAGAGCAACTCCTCATGAAGCACCATGGCTATGGGGGGCTGTCAGCTCCCTCTGCAGGTCTGCTCAGAGGGGTGGGTGCTTCCAAACACAGAGACCAGGACAGGTGCCCTGGGCCTCAGCTTCTCACCCTGTGCTCCTCACCTTCCCCATCCTCTGCTCCTCACCTTCCCCATCCTGTGCCCCTCACCTTCCCCATCCTGTGCCCCTCACCTTCCCCATCCTGTGCCCCTCACCTTCCCCATCCTGTGCCCCTCACCTTCCCCATCCTGTGCTCCTCACCTTCCCCATCCTCTGTTCCTCACCTTCCCATCCTGTGCTCCTCACCTTCCCCATCCTCTGCTCCTCACCTTCCCCATCCTCTGCTCCTCACCTTCCCCATCCTCTGCTCCTCACCTTCCCCATCCTCTGCTCCTCACCTTCCCCATCCTCTGCTCCTCACCTTCCCCATCCTCTGCTCCTCACCTTCCCCATCCTCTGCTCCTCACCTTCCCCATCCTCTGCTCCTCACCTTCCCACCTGTGCCCCTCACCTTCTCAGCCAGTGTGAGGACAGTCCTGGCCTGGATGATGACCACCTGCTCCTCGTTGGTCAGATTCTGCACCAAAAGCAGAGCACAATTACAACAAATCCCAGTTCTTGTTACTAACCCACTACTTGGGCCACTGCTGTTTCAAACATTAAATATGTCTGAGGAACAATAAACTGAGGCAGAGGAAATTAATATTGTAATGCAAAATCATTGTAAAAGCCATTGTCACTATTCATTACCAACCCTTGTCATACATAATTCTTCAAAAATTCTCATATTTACCAACAACAGCAGGGACTGGATCTTTGTGTACCCAACAGGGAATAAACAGACATTTACACAGGACAAGATTGAGCTCAGCACAAAGAGCCATGGGGAGAAGAGATGCAGTGCTCATCCCATGCACCATCCTCACTTGTGCAGCCAGGTGATGATTTTGGGAAGCATTTATTAAGACGTTGGCCATTCCATCCACCTTCTGTTGCTTCCTCCAAAATACCAAAGTACTGGAACTGGGCTTTGCATTTTATCCCAGGCTTCAGTGTGACCACAGGTGCAGCTGAAGGGCTGGGCCTGGCTCGTGTGGGACCCTGAGCCAGAGTCAGGGCAGCTGCTGAGCAGGGGGACTGCAAAGAGCTTCAGCCTCAGGCACTGCTGGGACACGGCAGTGCTGTCCTGCAGGGATTGAATCAGGGAATGCCTTGGGTGGGAAGGGACCCCAATCCCCCCCAGTGCCACTCCTGCCATGGCAGGGACACCTCCCACTGTCCCAGGTGCTCCCAGCCCCAGTGTCCAGCCTGGCCTTGGGCACTGCCAGGGATGCAGGGGCAGCCCCAGCTGCTCTGGGCACCTGTGCCAGGGCTGCCCACCCTCAGGTATTTATAGTTCTGGTACTTCCAGGCTGTGCCATGGTCCTGGGGATGGTGTTTTGCTGCTATCCAGCCTGTCAGAGGGAGAGCTGGGGCAGCCCAGGTGCCCAGCCTGTCACAGGGAGAGCTGGGGCAGCCCAGGTGCAGAGTGTGAGAACAGTGGGGACCCTCCTGCAGCTGGGGTGGGGGTCCCAGGAGGGCCCTGGAGGTGCTGAGGGCTCTGTGAGACCTTGAGGGGCTCAGCTGTACCTTGGCCCCTCCAGCCCTGGGGCTCTGCTGACAGAGGAGAGCACAGGAAAAGACCCACAGGACCTTGTGTGTGCCTTCCACGTGCATAACTGTGTGCAGCCATTCACTGCCACATGCTGAAGGAGAAGCACTTGCACGTTTCTTGTTATTTGCTTCTCCTTTTCATGCTGCTATTTTGGCTTTTTGTTTAATAATATCCTGGTTAGTATCAAGGGTTAATGGGTTATTAGGCAAACTCAAAGCACACAGCTGCTGAAATGCAAAAGCAAAGCAAATGCAGAGCAAGCAAATCAAGAAACCGTGTGTGGCCAGTGGCCAGAAAGCCCCAAACACCAACATCACTGAGTAACAGGGATCCAGGAGCAGTGTGGTGACACGAGCCCTGCACTTCACTCCTCAGTGGCAGCAAAACCTTGAAATGGCAGCAGATGCTGTGCTTGCAGCCCAAACCAGAGGCAGGACAGGCTGTGCAGCACCAAAGCAGGCAGCTCTGCTCACTGCACACCAGGACAGGTATTCCCCAAAGCATGCACAATTTATTAAAGGAACATACACTTACGGCGTTATCCCCTAAAATGTCCAACTTTTTCATCAGCTCTGCTACTACAATGTCCTGGCAAGAGAGAAATGGAGAGGCGGGAGTCAGCACGGGGCACCTGGCTCTGCCCGGGGAGGGGATAGGAAAGGAGCATCCCTTACTGTTACACCTTCAGCCTCGCAGTACACCTGCAGAGGGCTCTTCCCCTCCGTGAAGGGGCCGTGGTGGAAGGTGATGGCCGGGGACCGTCTCTCCCTCTCCTGAAAGGACAAGGATCCTCGGTTACCCCTGGCTGTGCCACACCACAGCGCCACGGACTGCTCTGGCTTGGAAGGGCCCCTAAAGCCCATCCCACTGCCCCTCCTGCCACAACAACCTGCCAGCCACACCGCCGGTGTCTGTGGTTCTCCTCTTTGACCAGACCCTGCTCAGAGTGCCCCTCTGCAGTGCCCCGCAGGGCTGGGGCTCACCTCCAGCTCCAGGATCCTGAACTCCAGCAGCTCGTTCTGGTCCTTGGCGTCCTGCACGTCGTGCTTGAGGCGTGCCTCCTCTGCCTCCATCTGCCTGATCTGCCAAAGCACAGGGCACCTGAGCCAGGTGGGCAGGGCTGGGCCAGGGGGGCAGGCACACCCAGCCCAGGGCAGGCACACCCAGCCCAGGGGGGCAGGCACACCCAGCCCTGGGCACCGTCCTGAGCCAGGTGGGCAGGGCTGAGCCAGGGGGTCAGGCACACCCAGCCAGGGGGGCAGGCACATCCAGCCCAGGGCACCTGAGCCAGGTGGGCAGGCACATCCAGCCAGGGCAGGGCTGAGCCAGGTACACCCAGCCAGGGGGGCAGGCAAACCCAGCCCAGGGCAGGGCCGAGCCACCCCGGGCCAGGGGGACACAGGGCTGGCCCCCAGGGCCACTGTCCTCATGCACAGGACACCCCCAGAGAATGCCAGAGCCCCACTTCTCCAGCAGGTTTATGAAGATCTCCTATTAAATTATTTCCAGCAGGACAGTGCCATGCAGATTGGAATATTGCCCCTTCTGCATCGCTCAGGACACAAATGCTATTTGAATAATGCAAATAGAAACATTAAATACCTTTTCTACCAGTTCCTGATTCCTTCTGTACAACGCCTGCTTCTCCTCAATCCACTTCATGTCCTTGGGGAGAAATGAACAATGCTGCAGGTGAGGCTGCAACATTTGCAACAGCACAGCTGCAAGTATCTCACTGAAGCTCATGTGCAGAGGGACAGAACAGTGAGGGCTGTGAAACTCTAAGTCCATTACTTCTTAAAATAACTCCCTAAGCTAAACTTGCCCATGCACTTTTAACAGCTCTGTAGTTCACAAATGGAATAAAAACATTCCAGTGATTAAAAAACTCTTTCAGGTAAAATCTGGTTTGCATTAAAAGGGACATTCCCAACTATGTGTTTACTATCAAATTTCTATTTTACTGAATACAAATCACATATTTCTGCAGCTCAGGCAAACTAAACTTTATTTGGAAGCTAAGCTCTTAGTCTGAGGAATATAAAACCCACAAACCCAGAACATCATTTATCAGCAAGAACAACAACAAGAGTTTAAGCTGGGAAGGCAATGATACAATTACTCAATTACTTAATATTTAATTGTTCTCAAAACCATTTTCTGTTTACTGCTGGTGTTGCTTTTGGGTTTGGTTTTTTTTTTTGTTTGTTTGGTTGTTTTTTTTTTTTTGGTTTTTTTTTTTGTTTGTTTGTTTGGTTTTTTTTTTGTTTTTTTTTTGTTTGGTTGTTGTTTTTTTGTCAGCAGAAGTGGTGCACAAACTGTAACCAGCCTGGGAACCTTTCTGGTCCCCCAGCAGAGAGGTGGGGAAGGGCTGGAGTCAGCATTACCTGTCCCTGCTCAGCCAGAGCCTTCTCCAGGTCTTCTATCTGAGCCTGGGACCGGTGTATTTCTGCTTGGAGCTGCTCACGTGTCTGTGGCATATGAGAGAGAAACAAAAAAACCAAAAATTGGTAAAGAATAATTTAAAAATAAATTTTAAAAAAAATCAAACTTTCTCCAAAAGACCAAACCTAATGCAGTATTGAAAATACCAAATGCTTTTAACAAATTATTTTGAAAGTTCCCTGGCAGAAGAAATTTGCAGCTGAGCACAGAGTATCAAATAATCAAATGTAATCAAATCAAGTCTGGGAGATAGGATTACTGATTTTGAGATTGAACTCAAGATTAACAAAATGGCAAAGCAGAGCTGGCCCCTCACAGCTGCTCATGGCAGGCTGCAGCCACAGCCTCCTCCCTTTCTCCAGGGAAACAAATGGGAATTACTGTGGCACAATTCTGGGCACTCCTGTTCCCTTAAATTTGGGGCACGTTCAACATTCAGAGCAGAGCCCACATTACAAACTGGCAAATTTCATTGACCTTTGTGCCTTTGGTGCCTTGTCTATAACTTAGAGCCTTATCTATGATTTAGTGCTATATCTATTTCATTCCCATCTCTCATTTTTTACTGTATTTGTACCTTCCTGCTTATTTAAGTAGACACCACATACCTATATACCTTTTCTGAAAAACAAATGTAATTATTGCTAGTTGTTGTATTTGTTACATACTTTCATAGAACATTTATTTCCTTGAGCCATTTCTCTGCTATTTATCCCGTTATTTACACTGAGAGTGACTTTGTTTGCACGACCTACACTGGTGCCTCCTTTGGCCCCCTGTGAAAAGACTAAAACCCAGTCACTCTCACAGCTGGGCATGCCTTGGCTCACTGGGATTTTCCTTCCAGGTGCAATTCCTGATGTTTCAGAGTAGATGTTCATTCTGGGAATGTCTCTTTTCATGCATTACACCTTGAGCCACTCCCAGTGTTCCTGGATAACACCTCCACAGAACAGGTGTAGGAACAAATCTGCAGGCACATTTCTCCTGTTAAACAGCAAATTTGTCCCTTTCCTGATGGCACCCACACCTTTCCAGAATGGGCCTGACCCATCCTGCCAGCCCTTCAGGGAGTCAGGGAATGCTTTGGGTAGGAAGGACCCCAAATCCCCCCCAGTGCCACCCCAGCCATGGCAGGGACACCTCCCACTGTCCCAGGTGCTCCCAGCCCCAGTGTCCAGCCTGGCCTTGGGCACGGCCAGGGATCCAGGGGCAGCCACAGCTGCTCTGGGCACTGTCACAGGCATCTTTTATGGAAATCCTTTCCTTGGGATTTTTCCTCCTGAGAGGCCTCAGGAACAAAATGTACCCAATGGTTATCTGCTGCTGTGGGATGCAACAGGTGCATCTGGGATTGGGCTCATGTGCTTGTTTCTAATTCATGGCCAATCACAGTCAGCTGGCTCAGACTCTCTGTCCCAGACACAAACCTTTGTTATCATTCTTTCTTCTGCTATTCTTAGCCAGCCTTCTGATGAAATCCTATCTTCTATCCTTTTAGTATAGTTTTAATACATTATATAACATAAAATAATAAATCAGCCTTCTGAAACATGGAGTCAGATCCTGGTCTCTTCCCTCATCCTCAGACCCCTGTGAGCACCATCACAGAGCACCCTGTGCCAGGGCTGCCCACCCTGCCAGGGAACAATTCCTCTGTAACTGCTTGGCACACACAGCAAGCTCCCAACAAAAGCAGCACTTCAGGCCAGCTGTCCAGAGCCACAGGAACCCTGTGAGGCAGACAGGCAGAACGACACAGGGCACTTTGCAATTTAATTAACAGAAAAATCTCAGCTATAAGCCTTCTAAACATTTTCTGAGGAATCATGTAATCTCTCAGAGCCCAGAAGGAATTAAAGACCACGCATTATAGATTTAAGGCTATCTGTCCTAGTTCTTTGTAGAAAAAGAGCTTACTTTCAAGGATTTCCCATAGAAACCTCTCTCTGGATTCCCCTTGAGCAGACCAGAGGTGAAAAGCCCGAGCTGCAGCAGTGGTGGATTCTCAGCAGCCCTGGCAGCGCTCAGAGTGCCCGGAGCCGCCTGGCTGAGCCCAGGTGAGCTGGAGAACAGCCTGAGCCCGGCCAGGTGCGTCCCCCACCCACCCTGCCAGCTGCAGGGCCCCATGTCCATGGCATGCACACCCTGCAGACCTTGACTTCGCGCTCTGCGTCCAGGGTGCCCCCGACCTGCTCCTGCAGCAGGGCGTAGGCGCGCTGCAGCGCCTGGTACTCCATCGTCAGCTGCCGGAACCGCAGCTCCGTCTCCTCCTTGGCCATGCCCTGCCAGCGCACAAAAGGAGAGAGGGTTAGGTCTGCTGTCTCTGAAAACGGCCAGAATTATCCCTTTTGAAACGCAATTTGGAACCATGGTACAAAATATCTTAGTTAAGCACCCTCAAGCTGCTTCCCCTCCGTCCCCTGCACGCTCTTACCTCCAGGAAGTGCAATACAGAAATAAAAAGATAATCCCTGCCTTGGAAAGAGAAAAGCTTGCCTTCCATATAGCACACGAATGACTGCACCACCCTTTCTTACTGGAACAGGGAAAATCATCACATTAAAGGTGAAAATGCAGCTTTCTTTAACAACAAAAGGTTTCAATTTGGAAAGGAAACCAAGCCTGACAGCCTCACTCAATTATTAAAACATGAATCCAGAGTTAATAGTTGTAGAAGTGGTGACAGCCAGCATGAAAGGAGCCCTTCATCTTCTTCACCCTGCTTACAATAACCAGTATGGAGTGCTTTCATGTCTGACCGGAATATTTCACTCAACATGAAATGGAATTACATTGCTGGGTGCATGCATCAACTTCCCACTGGCTGAACGGGGGGAAGATATCAACACAGGAATGAAAAATAAACAGGCTCATGCATACACAAATACATCCAGATTTCCTGCAGTGCAGCCTGGTAACCATCAGGTATCTTTCATGATGGAGTGAGGAATTCTGCAGGCTCCCTTTCTGCAGACTGAATTACACACCTGCAGCCAGCACACCGTGAAAGGGCTGCACATCATCAGGGGCAATTCTTGTTTATTACAAGAGTCTTGTTAAGCCCAGAGCTGTGTAATGGGCCAATGTTCTGACACACACTGGGGAGTGCATTTGTGGGGAAGCCCTGGCAAATCAAGGAATAATCCCTTTAATTTGTGTTACATTTGTGTGCTGTGAACACACAAATGTTCCTCTGGAACCCAGCCAGGAACCAGCCTTTCCCTGGAGCCCAGAGCTTCAGGGGAGCATTCATTCCCTCTCCCTCCACCAACACAACCTTACTGAGCTTGGCTGGCCCAAACTGCACCTGCCAAAATCTGCAGCCAGGCTCAGAGTGAACACACCTCCCATGGCCTGTCCAATTTCTCCATTTTTTAGACCTGCAAACCTGCCGTAAATTCAATATTCTTAGGATATCAGATTTCCAGCTTGGAAGTTGTGAAGTTACTGAAGACCTGAGATGTAGAGATACTGACCACCATGCACAGCACCAAATTTAATAGAAGTGTTTCATTTTGAAGTCTGAGGGACAGAACGATAGAACAGATATGAGAGAGCAGCAATGATAGATGGAAGTGATGGAACAGAGCAGGGATTTCATTAGACAGCAGCACCACGGTCACGAGCAAAGCAAGAGGGGTTTTTGAGGAGTACCTCTTCCAGGTCATCCTCGGGCGTGCACGGGGTCTGGTCGGTCCGGTCGGTTTGGTAGGAGATGGAGGAACCATCAGACTCCAGGGAAGCCTCCTCATCATAGCCATAGAACGTCTCCACCACCGGCTTCTGGCAGAGAGCAGGGTCAGGGAGTGCCCTGGCACCTGGACAGACTGCCCTGGCACCTGGACAGACTGCCCCGACACCCGGACAGACTGCCCCGGCACCTGGACAGACTGCCCTGACACCCGGACAGACTGCCCTGACACCCGGACAGACTGCCACTGCACCCAGACAGACTGCCCTGACACCCGGACAGACTGCCCCTCACACCCGGACAGACTGCCCTGGCCCTGACACCCGGACAGACTGCCCCTGACACCCGGACAGACTGCCCTGGCCCTGACACCTGCACAGACTGCCCTGACACCCGGACAGACTGCCCTGACACCCGGACAGACTGCCCCTGCACCCGGACAGACTGCCCCTGCACCCGGACAGACTGCCCTGACACCCGGACAGACTGCCCTGACACCCGGACAGACTGCCCTGACCCCTGGACAGACTGCCCTGGCAGGCCAAGAGCCGTGGGCTGAAAGTGCTGGGGGATGGAAACAGCCCCGAGCCACAGGGGGGCCCTGGGATCCCTTCCGTGGCTCTGGGACCCCAAATTCCCCCCAGTGCCACCCCAGCCATGGCAGGGACACCTCCCACTGTCCCAGGGGCTCCCAGCCCCAGTGTCCAGCCTGGCCTTGGGCACTGCCAGGGATCCAGGGGCAGCCCCAGCTGCTCTGGGCACCTGTGCCAGGGCTGCCCACCCTGCCAGGGAACAATTCCCAATTCCCAATCTCCCATCCAGCCCTGCCCTCTGGCACTGGCAGCCATTCCCTGGCTCCTGTCCCTCCAGCCCCACGCAGCTTTCAGACAGAACGTGCCTCCCTGGAAGGCCTGGATGTGATGCTCAGGATGTCAGGAGTTATTTCCCATTGACCTCAATTAGTTATTCATAGGTTCATTAGCTCCAGCCTCACTCTAATTGTTCATCTGTGGATCACAGCACACTGGCAGCCCTGACATTAAACCTTCCTGTGACATTTTAGTGTTAATATTTACATTAACACCCTGCCAAGCCCTCATTAACCAACATCCCCTTTTCCCTGAGCTCTAACCACTGCTTCCCTAACCAGCAATTTTCACATGTTACTAAACTCCATCATGAATTATTTACTACATACACATGTTTTCAGCACCATCAGAAGATCATTTGGAGATGCGTTGATTCATAAAATTTGTCTGCTCTTAAGACAACCACATCCCACCAGAGTCCCACAGGGTGAGTGCAGAGCATGGAAAGGCTCAGAATGCTCGATGCAAACAGGTACCCTGCCCCCCTGAATATCCCAGTGCAGTCTGCCAATGTCCTTCACCCAAACTGAAGTTCAGGACCCATTTGCAGACCCTTGAGGAGAACATTGCCTTGGCCCTGAGGAGCTCTGAGCACCCCAGCCCTGTCCATCAGCATGTCACCATGGAAGGGTTTGCTTTTTACCTTAGGAATTCTTGTCATTTTTTTCCTTTGCTTCCTGAACCTTAGCAGCTTATCACGTTCCTGCAAGAGTCAGAGACACTGTTAGCTGTTTGCAGAGAGCAATTACTGAAATCAAGCCTGTCAGTACAAGGGGCCACTGGGGAAGCAACAGACAGGAATGTCCCTGCTGGCCACTGTCCCATACTGTCACCATGCCTGGGTTATTTACTCCAACATCTCTCAGCTTTGCCACAGACAACTAGAAATTGCTCTTTATGTCCATGAAAATCAAGCTAAAATAAAGCTGGTGATAAGCTTTATGCTGAGAGTTTGGGTATGCCTGTGGAGCTGCTCCCTGGGTGACCATGGCCCTGCAGCCCTTGCCATGGCCCTGTCCCTGTCCCTGGTGGCTGTTGGTGGCTCTGGAAGGGGCACACACCCAACACACTGCACACACTGCAGGGCCTCTTGAACTCTGCACTTCCAGGCTCAGCTCCTTCCCTAAGGATCTGCAGGTTCCCTATGTGTCTGGAGTAAGGTTTGAGCCCTTACTGCTGCCAACAATTTTTCCAATTGGAGGAAATAATAGAATAATCAAATTCCAGGTTGGAGGGACCTAAAATATCACCTCCTTTCACCCCTGCCATGGCAGGGACACCTCCCACTGTCCCAGGTGTTCCCAGCCCCAGGGTCCAGCCTGGCCTTGGGCACTGCCAGGGATCCAGGGGCAGCCCCAGCTGCTCTGGGCACCTGTGCCAGGGCTGCCCACCCTGCCAGGGAACAATTTCCTCCTCTGTGGTATTAGGTTGGTTTTTTACAGTACTCAGCAAAAAGTCTCTGTTCTGGACTTGCAAAGGCCAGCAGTGCAGAGAGGGAAGCTCCACAGGGGAAACCCTCAGCTGCTCCATTTCCCCTGGGTACAAAGATGTGGTGACCTTGGGGACAGTGACACGGGCTGCTGCTCAGCCTGGTGGCCAATCCCAGGCCAGGGACAATTGAACACTCATTGCCTGGAATGGGAACAGCACATCCCATCAATACCCATCAGTGGTGGAACCCCAAACATCCCTGTTTGGAACCCCAAACATCCCTGCTCACCACAGCACAGGGATGGGGCAAGGGCAGGGCTGAGCACACCCTGCTGTGGGTCACACAAAGCCAGGGGCAGCCAGAGTGAAAAAATGACATTCCAAGGGGCCAGAGCTGCCCTGGAGATGGGGACACTTGCCCTTGGCCATCAGGACAGGATTAAAGCTTTCCTCCCCACCATCACTGTGCTTTTCTCTGGTGAACAACTGCTGATAAAAAATCTGCTCTGAGGAAACCCCCTGGGTCAGCTCACTGCTGAACACAGATGGAAGGGAGAATAAATATTATTGTACCCTGCCTGCTTTCCATGAACAGCAATTTAAAGCATATAGATGAGGAGGAAGCTAATGTCACTCTTACCATGACACTCTTCACATAGCCAGCAGTCTCAAGGGTCTAATGAAACAGAATGAAATAATGTCAGTAACCGGACAGGCTTAAAAAGAAAGGGAAGAAACAAAAGTTATTTTCTAGAAGAGTGTGGTGATTTTGGTGTTTTCTGTTTCCAAGGACAGAGAACATGTTAAGAAGGAAGCAAACCCCAAGCCCAGGGCTGCAGACCCCTCCCTGTACACAGGAATCTTCAGCCCTGGTGTGTGTCCAGCTGAAGGAGCTCGGACAGTTTCCCTCCCAGATCTGGCCACCAGCACATGCAAGGACGTGGTTCTGTCAGGCCAGGCCAGTGCAGATTGAAAGGGTTTTCCCAAACACCACACCACAGATAATTTCTATTACTACTAAGCACAGAAATGCCTGCCAGGTTCCCCTGCTGCCCACTGTGCCCACCAGCTCCCAGAACCTCAGGCACCCCTTCCTTGGGCTTCCTCTGCTCTGCCCTTGGGCACTCTCACGTGAGAACAGCGGCCTCCCATCTTACCTTGGAGAGCTCATCAATGATGTTCTGCTGCTCAATAACTTGTAGTCTCAGGAAATCCACTTCCCTTTCTTCCTGGCTGTGGTCAAGGTCATTTAGGGAGCTTGGTCTCCTTATTGCTCCACTTCTTTGCCTCTAGAATGCAAAAACCGCAGGGCAGAGGAGGAAATGATCAGGAGGCTTTGCCAGGGACTTGTCTGGCCCTTCCCTTTACAGCAAGTAGAAAACATCTCTCTAATGGTTGCCCTGGCAGCTCTCCTGCTCCCTTTCTGCTGAGCCTCACGTCCGGGCTCCAAATGTGCCAGAGGGTCCTGCTCCTCCAGCTGGAAGAGGGGCAGGGTCACAGGGGCAGATTCCCCAGGGACTGTGGGGTGATCCTGGCAGGAAAGTTGAAGGTGAGCCATAGAATGCCAGGTGAGTTTGGGTTGGAAGGGCCAGGATGGAAGTTTCCCATGGAACCTGCAAGGGCGGGCCAGTGCCTGACTCCCTCAGCCCCAACGTCCCCCGTTCTCCCAGGAGCACAGGCACTCACCATGGCAATGTTTTCCTGCGTCACAAATTTCAGTTTATTTTCCATTCGACGTAAGGCATGTGACAACTCCTCATTCTTCCTACTGAGGCGTTTGTTTTTGTCCAAAATGGGCTTATACTGACTTTCTGCTTCTCTGAGACGTTTCAACTGAAAGATAAAGAGAAAAATAACACTTCTGGAGATTTTTCATCAAATATATTAACTACTTTCTGTAACTATCACGCTAGAAGTTTTTTCTCCTGATGCAAAGCAGAACTGATAAAAACTTGGGATTTTCCATTGGGAAGAGAGCATTCCCACATTAGAAGATATTGTTGTAGGGAGCCCCTGATGCAGGAATAATCTGCTTTGACTCCAATGACTCTAGAAGGCTGAACAAATGCTTTATTAAGCTATATTATATTACACTAATACTATATATTAAAACTATACTGAAAAGATACTAAAGAAAAACTCATGAGTGTCTCCAGACAGTCACAACACAGCTTTGACCTAACTGGCTAATTGATCTAAACAACCATCACCAGAGTGCAATTAACAAGTCACTTTTGGTAAACAATCTCCATAACACATTCCACATGTGTCAAACAACAGGAGCAGCAAGTAGAGATGAGAGTTTTCTCTGAGGTTTCTCACTGCCTTTCCTTTGGAGAAATCCTTGGGAAAGTTGTGCCTGCTGCTCTCTGTGAAGAGAGCTGTGGCTACAATGAGATATTCTGCCTGTGTAGCAAACGTTCAATGTGGGGAATGTACTTATTTTTAAAAAGAAATAAATATAATTCGAGCTAATGCCATGTTAAAAATCCATTGCTGCACAAGCCAAGAGGGGAGTGGCACGGCCCAGCCCAAGCCGCGAGCTGAGCAGGAGGCAGGAGGAGGAGCCCCTCATTTCCAGGCAGCACAGGAGCAACCCCGGGTGTTCCTGGGGCCGGGCACACGTCCCCAGGCCTGGCCCTGCTGCACTCACCAGCTCGTTCCTCTCCTCCGACAGCAGCGCGTTCCTGTCCTCCAGCTTGCGGATGATCCCGCTCAGCTCCGCGATTTTCAGCTGGAAGCGCCGCGCGTCCTTTTCATCCAACTGCTGTTCCTAAAACAAAGATCAACTGCAAATAACTGTTCATAAGTGTGCACGCAAGAGCACATTGGCAAAGCTCAAACTTTTCCTTATCCCAAATGCAGACATTTTAAAATGTTATCGCATAGAGTGTAACCCATGGAACCCAAGTGACCATGGAAAGCTGCAGGGTGAGACCAACGGAAAGTCAGGAGTGGAAATGTAACAAAGAATGCAAATGCAGAGGTGTGTATATGCATATGTATGTGTATATGCATATGCAAATACAAGGTCACAAATGTGACAATACAAATGTGCAAACACAAAGTTTACAAATGGTAAACTTGGAAACAACAGAAAATATCAAAACTGAAGGCCGTGTTCCAATGATGCCACTGTTGAACTGAGAGCTTCAGACACATCGCCCACTCTGAGGACTTGATCATAAGAAACTGGTATTAAAATTACTGAATTACTGAATGGGGAAAATCCATGCAATTGTGCATTGAATAAGCTCTTCTTCCAGAAAGCTGTGGCCCTTATGGGGTCCTAAAGGGTCACTCGTAAGGCTACAGGGGTAGCACTTTGTCTGAGTGAAAATGCTTCAATCAAATTAGAAATGAATAGAGATATAGGTAGATGTGTTCTCGTTCAGAATCAGAGGAGTTACAGCTACTGACAAACGTGACAGACTTTCCCCCTTCTCTAAGACTTGTTCTGGTCTTTGGCAGAAGTTGAGTACAACTAGAGAGAGGCAAATTAGTGCCCACGAAAAAGTACTGGTGGCACTTTTGGGAGGTCTAGGGTTCCTCATTCAACAGGTGCAGGAGAGGCTTGGGCCAAAGAATAAAACAGATTGGTTTGCTCAGGTATAAGTTTTACACTTGTACTGAGACAATCGAGGCTGTCGCAAAAGAAATCTTGATGAGGATCAGCAATGAGGACGACCTGCACACGTCAGAGGCACGAGGGCAGTTACCCGAGGGCTCTTCTGGGCAAAGGGGGCCCCAGCAGGGAGGTGCCAGAGTTACACTGCAAAAGCCACTGTGGAGGGCTGATTCCAATCCAATGCTCTGGCTATTGCAGAGGATAAACAGCAGAGGATAGGTCAGGAGGTGTTTGGTTCACTTTGTGTCCTGCTGGCAGTGACCAGCAGTGCAGGGCTGCCCTGGGGGTGCAGGGGTCCATGCTGCCCTGCACTGCCTCCATCCCTCTGGAACTGGCCTCGTACATCTGCTCCCCAAGCCCCAGCCCGCGCCTCCGAGAGCTCGCACACAAACAGCACTTGGTGAGGAATGCATTTGCATCGTTTGTTGGCAGAGTCGTGTCAAACTGTCAAACTAAGGCGGGTGGCTGAGCATGGCACAGTGAGGAAAAGGAGAGAAAGGACAGAGCAATTCCACCCTGCTGACAAAACCAAACCAAACCGACCGGGAAACAAAACAACAGAAAGCAAAAGCTCTCCCATGGCGAGGTTTGATTGGAAATCTCAAGGCTTTGGGCACACAAAAGCCAGAGCATGAGCAGGTGCCTCAGGAACCCTGCACAGCCATGGGACAGCTCTTGCTCCAGGGTGCACTCATCAAGATTCTGCCACTCATTTGGTCGCTCGTTTAGGTGAAATCACGTGGAAGTGCTTACGGGGCTTCCCGAATGATCTGAAGCATCTCCTGCACCACTTGCATAAGGAAGTTCCCGCTTGGGGCTGCTCAGATGCCGGTCAGACTCTTTGAGCTGGGACAGTTGTTCATCTAAAGCCTCCTTTTGGAGCTGCAGTCTCTGAGCATGCCCGGCTCGTACCCCTAACTCTCTCTCCAGCACGAAGACTGCTCTGTCCTTAAACTTAATCTCCTCCATCTATAAGGAGAACAGAACACAGTCACACAGGGCTCGGCAGCCCCCGAGCACCCCAGGGTGGCACAGCACAGCTGCCCTGCCACCACAGTGACAGTGAGCACCCCAGGGTGGCATAGCATGGCTGCCCTGCCACCACAGTGACAGTGACAGTGAGCACCCCAGGGTGGCACAGCACGGCTGCCCTGCCACCACAGTGACAGTGATAGTGAGCACCATGCACAGCACTGCCACCACAGTGACAGTGAGCACCCCAGGGTGGCACAGCACCACTGCCCTGCTACCCACAGTGACAGTGAGCACCCCAGGGTGGCACAGCACAGCTGCCCTGCTACCCACAGTGACAGTGAGCACCCCAGGGTGGCACAGCACAGCTGCCCTGCTACCCACAGTGACAGTGACAGTGAGCACCCCAGGGTGGCACAGCACAGCTGCCCTGCCACCACAGTGACAGTGACAGTGAGCACCCCAGGGTGGCACAGCACAGCTGCCCTGCTACCCACAGTGACAGTGAGCAGCGTGCACAGCGCTGCCACCACAGTGACAGTGAGCACCCCAGGGCGGCACAGCACAGCTGCCCTGCCACCACAGTGACAGTGACAATGAGCACCGTGCACAGCGCTGCCCCTCTCCAGGGCCACCCAGCAGGAAACCCCTCCCTTCAGCAGGCAGCTGGCAGTGAAATATTGGGAACAGCCTGGAATCCTATCACCACTTCAGAATATCTTAAACAAAATTAAACATTCGCATCACACTTGGATTGCTTCACTCAAACACTTTAATGATTCTGCAGCATTTTGCTTGGATGCCACCTCTAGAAAATGTGGATTAATAATTTTTAAAGAAAAATTTTGAAACCTCAGAATCCATTACATTTTCAAAATTCCTAGAAGAAATATGAATTTTTAAATTTTTTTTCCCAAAGTCTTCCTTGTGAGCTATTCCTTTTCCATCAGAGGTTTTACTTACACAGAATAAAGATTATGCAAAAATAATGAAGTGCTTAAATGACAAACACCCAGTGACCTCTAATGCTCCCCTTCCCTGTTTGCCTGTGCCAAGGGGCTGCGCACATCCCATGGGATCAGCCAGGATCCGACTCCTGGGGTCTGCCAGGAGTTCACCAGGGCGGCTGGGTCCTGCCAGTGAAGGAATCCCTGATCCCAGCCCAGTGAGGGAATCCCTGATCCCAGCCCAGCTGAGCCCAGCCCAGTGAATGAAGGAATCCCTGATCCCAGCCCAGTGAAGGAATCCCTGATCCCAGCTCAGGGAGGGAATCCCTGATCCCAGCCCAGTGAATGAAGGAATCCCTGATCCCAGCCCAGCTGAGCCCAGCCCAGTGAAGGAATCCCTGATCCCAGCCCAGTGAGGGAATCCCTGATCCCAGCCCAGTGAATGAAGGAATCCCTGATCCCAGCCCAGTGAATGAAGGAATCCCTGATCCCAGCCCAGCTGAGCCCAGCCCAGTGAAGGAATCCCTGATCCCAGCCCAGTGAATGAAGGAATCCCTGATCCCAGCCCAGCTTGGCCGGGGTGCTGCCCACGCTGGAGCCCCCACTCACAGCCCGAGTGGCAGAGGTTCCACAGAAATCACACCCATCCCTCAGGCTGCTTTCAGACTCCAGAAACACAAGAGTTTTGCCTTCAGTTTTTGAGATTTCAGACATTTAATTTCAACGGTCAGTTTTTAAACCTGGCCTGCTTCAAATAAGAACATTTTGCCTTCTAAGAGCTATGATAATACTTTTATCTCTGCTTTGTCTGTAAACCTGGAAAGAAATGACACAGGGAACCAACAGTCACTCCAGGGACTTGGTTTGCAGTAATTGCAATGTAGCTCACCCAGGGCAGGTGCTGGCAGGTCACCCAGGTACCAGGAAAGCAAAATGGAGCAAATGAAAGGGATTTTGGGTGCCATTGACTAACCACCCTTTCAACAATGTCAGTGAAGGCAGCCTCTGCTGACTTAGAATGAAACAAAGACACAGGTACTTCCAGAGCACCTGAGGTCTTTCTGCTAAATGCCTAATGAGGAGAAATCGAAATGGATGCACAGGTGAAAAGATAACACATCATCAAATGATTATTTGTTTAAAATAAGCAGAATATTGGGTAGTTAATTCTTATTCATATGGAAACAAAGACATATTACAACAAAGGCAACACATGAAATTGGGAGGAACAAAGAGATGAGAAAACATGAAACATTTCACAGCATTCCACTAATGGCTTGTTTTCCAGAAAAAAAAATCCCTAAACAAAACCTTCGTAGACCACAAGCAAACCTCAGCATTGACATCTTCCTCCACCTGAGTAAATTCCCATCCATGACACATGCCCAAGTTTGGTGGCTGCAGCCACTGACAGACAGAGACAGTGGAAAGAGCACAGCTGGGAGGGAAAGGTGTGCCTCAGCACAGGGGGAGAGGAAGGGAGGGCAGGGCAAGGGGTCCCCAGAACTCACTGGCACTGGTGCAGCTCCATGGGCACGCTGCCCTCGGGCAGGGCCAGCCTGGCCTCATGCTGGGCTCTGCTGGGCTGGACCAGGCTCCGGCTCCTGTCCCTGCTCCCACCCTGGCGCTCTGCAGCGGGGAAGGGGCGGCAGTGCCGGAGCACCCACCCACCACACACCCACCCACCACACACCCACCCACCACGCACCCACCCAGGCACCTGCAGGCGCCTGCTGCGCTCAGAGCTGCAGGAATACTGATGAATATTTATGTGTCTGCTCACTGGAGGCAGCCCCAGCACAGCTGGTGCCAATTACAGAGCAGCAGCTGTGCTCAGGGAGATGTGCTGCTCCTCGCTGCTCCTGCAGCTCCAGGCTTTGAGCCCTGGCTCTGTTATTAAAGTTACTATTGCCATCCTGTTCCAACCCAGGCTGAGGGTCCTGGCTGGGGCATCTGTCCCTGCAATCTTCCTGGGGCCCCTGCAAGCTGACAGCTGCTGTCAAAAATGGCCTTTGAAGCACCTGGGATCAAAGGCATCCCCCCAGGCAGGGGGCACAGAGGAGGATCCCTGTGCATGGCAGGCACTGAGCTGGCACCAGGACATGTCAGGAGAGCTGTCCCAGCCTCGATGGGGCTGCCAGGGTGCTGGGACCTGGCAGGAGGGGATGGGGTGGCCCTGGGTGAGCCAGCCCTGGGAGAAGGGCACAGGGCACACACACAGACCCTGCTCGTTCCCCTCCCTGTGCAGAGCCAGCCCCACTGCCTGCCTGTCCTGGCACCCAGCACCAGCACGGGGCCCCCGAAGGTTTGGGCTGGGAGGGAGCTGGAGCTCAGCCTGGTGCTGAGTGTAGCCATCAGTGCCACTGGGGAAGCCAGGAACGGAGCAGGGGCTGTGCAGAGCTCCTGCTGGAGGCACAAACCCCCCTAAAGCTCTCCCAGAGGCCCCCAGCCCAAGCCCTGTGTTGGGTGTGCTCTGGCAGCACAACAGTGTGCTTACAGCCCAGGAAATATTAACTCCTTGTTTAGGTCCAGAGAAAAATGTTAAAAGCTGGCCTGAGAGAGGTGAAAGGAACCCCTCAGAATGAGGAGGTTTCCTGACCCTCCTCAGCGTAGGAGTAATGCTGTCTGGCTTTTACATACAACAAAATCCTTCAGCCCAGGTTTAGTTGGAAAAAAAAATGTGGTAAATGAGGGTCAAACCACAAATGACTAAAAATCCACAGGTGGAAGAAGGAGAAGGAACAATTCACCTTGAACATGTGTCTGCCTTTCAGGTGCTGCATCACCTTTATAACCCCAGGTATGGCGGATCTCAACACACGAGGGAATCAAATGCAGAAAGTATAGACTAAATCAATCACCAATAAAATCAATACTTAAAAATCAGCTTTCTACCCTTTACACCCGACATCTTCACTAATTCAGCGGAGCCTGGCAGAGCCCAGGGTCTCTGAGAGCAGAGAGGCTCAGAATGGTGCTTGGAACCTTGATCCCCTCTTTGGCTGTGGGGTGGCACTGCCATGAGGGAGGTGTGAAGCTCTCCATGTCCAGAGGTCTCACAGGGGGATTGGCACAGGGTATTAAAGCTTTTGCTACTCATAATCAACTAAAGTTTGTCTAGATTGAAATTAAGCACTCCCCAGCCTCCAGCAAATCCCATTTCCTCAGTTTTTCTGATTTCTCAGTCCCCTGATAAAGGAGATGGGAGTGAGGAGGCTGCAGTGGCCATGGCTGTGTAGAACTTTTCCCTCCCGACCAACCCAGAGTTAATTAAAGTTTAAATGCTCTTTTCCACACTGAATTTTGGTGCCCACTTGGCAAGCACCAAGGCTTGGGGAACACTGCAGGCTGAAAGCTGCTGCCCTGGCTGTGAACACACTAAGCAGGAGTGCTCCTGCCCGTGCAAATGGCATTAAACACAGCCATGCAGTATTTTAAGGCAGTTTTGAATGCACAAATTGAAATTTAAGGACGGTTGGCTAAAATGAGACATTCTGTCCAAAGGAGGCTGTTGCCACACGTACTCATCACCATTGCAGGGGGATTTCATCTCCCTGAGGCTGAGAGCCAGGGCCAGCTGAGCCAGCCTGTGCAGGCACAGACAGCAGCAGCCAGCACAGCACTGGGGCCAGAGCAGCCTGGGCACACCCAAAACCACCCAAACCCACCCAGCTGCCTTCCCTGTGCTGCCTGCAGTGCTGGGAGCTGCCAGCCCTGCTCCATGGGAATGGGCTGGAGCCTTTGGCATCCACCCTGGCCCTGGAATGACTGCAGCGAGGAGCTGGGGGTGAATCTGAGAATACCCAGAGCCACAGACCCTGGGGTCCCAGCTGTGCCCATCCCCACCCTGTCCCCAGCTCTGGGTGCCACCCCCAGGTGCCACCCACAGGGATGGGCACTGCAACCCTCCCTGGGCACTTCCTGAGCCCCCTTTCCATGGGGAAATTCCTGCTGTGCCCTCCCTGAGCTGCCCTGGCCCAGCCTGGGGCCGTTCCCTCTGCTCCTGTCACAGCCTGCAGTCAATGCAAGCACAGAAAATGCCCTGGAGCTGAGTCAGTGGGTCCCTGATTCTCTGCACAGGGCACTGCACACACAGCCCTGTACCCCAGACATCAGGGCTCTCCCCACAAGGGGCCAGGAGCCACCAGCTCCCACCCAAATAACTGAGGTGGAGCCCATGGAGCTGAGAGCACTTGGCTGCACCCAGGAGGCACTCGGGGCTTGGTGAAGTCATGGCATCAGGGTGAAGTCATGGCATCAGGGTAAAATCATGGCATCAGGGTACAGTCATGGCATTGGGGTAAATCATGGCATCAGGGTAAAATCATGGCATCAGGGTACAGTCATGGCATCAGGGTAAAATCATGGCATCAGGGTAAATCATGGCATCAGGGTAAAATCATGGCATCGGGGTAAATCATGGCATCAGGGTACAGTCATGGCATCAGGGTAAAATCATGGCATCGGGGTAAATCATGGCATCAGGGTAAAATCATGGCATCAGGGTAAAATCATGGCATCAGGGTAAAATCATGGCATCAGGGTAAATCATGGCATCAGGGTAAAATCATGGCACCAGGGTACAGTCATGGCATCAGGGTACAGTCATGGCATCAGGGTACAGTCATGGCATCAGGGCAAATCATGGCATCAGGGCAAATCATGGCATCAGTGTGAAGTCATGGCATCAGTGTGAAGTCATGGCATCAGTGTGAAGTCATGGCATCGGGGTACAGTCATGGCATCGGGGTACAGTCATGGCATCGGGGTACAGTCATGGCATCGGGGTAAATCATGGCATCAGGGTAAATCATGGCATCGGGGTACAGTCATGGCATCAGGGTACAGTCATGGCATCAGTGTGAAGTCATGGCATCAGGGTACAGTCATGGCATCAGGGTACAGTCATGGCATCAGGGTGAAGTCATGGCATCAGGTCATTTCATTGGTGCAGTGAGCCAATCTGATTCTTTCAATCATGAACTTTTAAAAGTTTGATTTTCACAGGCAGTTTAGATAACATCCCACTGAACCACTCTGTTCCCTGTAACTAAGACCATGTTTATTTAACAGGTTCTACATTAAAGGCCATTAGTGGGGACGTTCCACGTGATGCAGCAAGTTTATTTAGGATGTGCATTAGCCCCCCATTCACTGTGCTGTGTGAAATCAATGCACCAGTGATGCATGGTTAGAGGACAATGTACTTACACTGCAGGATATTTGAACAGCATCAATAGAGCAGTTGGTTGTAAATTATTTTCAATATCCTCTTCATAAAAATAAAATAATCTATGAAAAAGCCTTAAGAGCCTAAAGTCTGAGAGAAGAGAGGCTAAATAAAGGCAGGGGACACTGCAGTGCTGGCAGTCAGTCCCTGCCAGGCCCTTTGGGGGTCAGGGCTCAGGTGATGCTGTACAGCACCCCCCAGGGCAGGGGGTCCTGCGGGGGTCTCTGCAGCCTGGTCACACTGCCAGCCTTTCATCCGGGGCCAGGCTGGGCATTGTGAATTTATCTGGGGTTTGGGTAACAGCTAAGGGCTAATGACTTAGAGGAGACCTGGATGGGTCTGTGCCGGGACACTGAGGCTGTGAAGCAGCATGGCAGACACAGAACAATGGTGACACCACACAGATACTGAGACAAGACCCAAACACGCACCCTGAGGGCATGGCTGTGTCCCCAGGCAAGGCAGCACCCTCAGGGGCTCGGGTGTGGGTCACAAGGCAGGGGCTGGGACAGCACCAGTGAACCCCTGAGCCCCTCCAGGTGCTGCTGGCCTGCCAGGCTCTGCTGCAGAGCCTTCCCTGCCAGGGACCTCCCTCCCTCCCTTCTTCCCACAGGGATTTCCCCCTTTCCCACCACCCCTCCAACCTCCCCAGCCCAGTCCCACAGGCCAGAGGAAATCTCCAAAGCCACAGGGGTGAAGCTGCTGCCTTCGAGAGTGGAGCTGCTGCAGCTGAGGATCAGGTGCTGGGTTAGTGGGGGCAGGCTGAGCAGCCACACACAGAGGGCCCCTGAGGGCCAGGTGAGCAGGGCCAGGTGAGATCCCAGCCACCTGCTCAGGTGGGAGACACACAGGAGCAGAGCCAGCCCTGTCCTGGGGAAAACCTCCACGGTGGGCATGGAGAGAACTCCCCCTGCATGCCCTGCTGCGTGGGGAGCACCCAGGGGTGCAGAAAAGGAGCATTTGGGATTGTGTGAGCCTCGCTGTGGGATGTTCATGGGAACCACCAAAGGCAGGGGAAGGGAGGGACCAAGGTGGATCAGGAGGGACCAAGGTGGATCAGGAGGGAAGGCTTGGTGAGGAAACAGAGGCATAACCCACAACACATTAGTGTGGTAGCATTCCCCTGCCCAGCCAGGAGCCTGAGGGCTCTTCCTGCTGCCTTTAACGTGAACGACGTCCACGGGCTCTGACACAGATAAAGAAGTTTCTCACAAAACATCCTGACACTTTTAAAACCACTTTGCCCTTTCTGCTAGTAAATGTAAGCAGAGCTGGGGCGAGCCCCAGAGTCCCCACACCCGCCCAGAGAGGCCAGCCCTGCCCATTTCCCCCGGGACACGGGTCAGAAGAGCAGAGAGGGACACGTACCAGCCTGCGGATCTCGCGCTCGCACTCCCTCTTGATGCGCGTGATCTCCTCCTGGTGCAGGTGGTACACGCTCCTGATTTCTGCTGCCTTCATTTTGTCAGCTTGGATCACCATCGTCAGGGCCTCCTCCACCTGCTTCTTGGCGCCCTTCAGCTCGGAGATCTCCTGCTGCATTTTGATTTTCTCCACCTCGAAGCCCTTCTTGGCCTCCTCCTTGGCCTCGCTCAGCAGCACCGTCTTCACCTTGTCAGGGGCCCCATCCCGCACGGCGTTCAGCAGGGTCTGCAGCCTCTGGATCTCATTGTCCTTGATTTTGATCACTCTGAGCAGCTCGGCTTCGTGCTGCCTCAGAAGAGTTTCTCGGACAGCCTGGAGCTCTTTCATTTTGTCTTCATGGAGTTTGACTTTGAGCTCTGTGACCACCACTGTGCTTTTATGCTGTTCGTGCTCCTTGATCTGCTTCACTTCCTGATTTTTCTCCCTTTCCAACTTGCTGACCTATAGGGAAAATCAAAAAAGTATAGTATTTTCAATCAACCAATGAGTACATATCATGATGTTATTTAAAAATGGTACAGATGACCTTACAGTATTACACCTCAGTGCTGGTATGTCTGTGCCTATAAACTGGTGGTAGCAAAGACCTTTCTTTCACTGCAGGCTCATGTTTAATACACATTCAGGAATCAGTCAGTACTTTCTGAGTCCTTACTTTATTCTGCAGAAGCTCCCACAGCACATAACCCCCAAAATAAGGGAAGAACCAGATGCCAAGGCCATCACTCTGGCCCACTCAGGCAGGTGGGCCAAACCTGCACGTACACAGGCAGGGCACAAAAATCTCTGTGCAAGCTCCTGTGAAGCCCCAAACAGCTGCATTTTACCAGATGGTTTTTTAAAGTGATGAATTATTCAGCAGAAATAACTGACTGTACCCGACCACACAAGGCTCAAGCCATGTTTCAATTTAAAACCATGCCATAAACTCTAGAGAAGCCACGGCCAGAAGTGGCTATGAAGGACAGGGACAAGGAAAACAAAGTCCTCAGCCTTAAAGCTGCAAATGCTGCTGCACAGCAAAAGGATCAACAGATGTTCTATTTAATTATACCTGTGTGTCGGATTCATGGTCTAAAATGCCTAATGCAAATTCATGGGAAAATGCAAACTCTCATTTTGTCCCTGCATGGTAACATATTTCTATTCTGGAACTGAAAACCCCCAAAGTCTATCATTGGAAGCTGAGTTGGAGAAGTGGGGAAAAGCAAATGAACATTCCTGCTCTGGCTGAGAAATGATCTGAGGGCAGGAGCTGGAAGCTCTTAGAGCTGAGGCTCCAGCCCCATTGCTGTCCCTCTCCCAAAGGCTGAGGGAGAAGCTGCGCCTCCTTGGAATCTGGGAATCAGCACAGGGGGCACAGCTGAGGTTCAGCACTGGATATCTGGGTAAGCACTCGGTCTGGAGGAGCTTGAGTGCAAAACCCAAAAGAAATGAGCGTAAAAGGGCAAGGGAAGAAGCATCCAGGAGGATTCTGGCACCGCTGAGCTCTCCGGACACACGGAATGGCGCGCACAGGGAGGGAAGCTGCCCACCTTGCTCTTCTCCTGCTGGAGCTCGATCTGGATGTCGGTGAGCTTGGCCCGCAGCTCCTCGTTGGCAGCCTGCAGGGCGGCCAGGGCGTCGGGCTTGTCCCCCCTGGCGCGGCTGCTGGAGCCCCTCTTGGCCATGCTGAGGGAGGCCCTCGCTGCTCACGCTGCTCACATCTTCTGGGGCCTGCAGGGAGGGACAGCTGTCACCTGCTGGGGACACAGCCACCAGCACGCCCCAGGGACAGCTGGGGGGCTGCATCCCCGGGATGGGTGTGCAACCATGGGATGGGTGTGCAACCATGGGATGGGTGTGCAACCACGGGATGGGCGTGCAACCACGGGATGGGTGTGCAATCATGGGCTGAGAGTGCAATTATGGACTGAGAGTGCAATCATGGACTGAGAGTGCAATCATGGACTGAGCGTGCAATCATGGACTGAGCGTGCAATCATGGGATGAGCGTGCAACCATGGGATGAGCGTGCAACCATGGGATGAGCGTGCAACCATGGGATGAGCGTGCAACCACGGGATGGGCGTGCAACCACGGGATGGGCGTGCAACCACGGGATGGGCGTGCAGTCACAGGCTGAGAGTGTAATCATGGCTTTTCCTTGGTCTGAGTGTGCAATCACAAGCTGAGTGTGCAATCACAAGCTGAGTGTGCAATCATGGCTTTGCTCAGGTGGAAGGGTCAGCTGGAGGTGCTGCATTCCCTGGGCTGAGTGTGCAATCACAGCTTTGCTGGGGTGGAAAAGTCCTCTAAGACCATTCAGTCCAAGCCCCACATGCCCAGGTGCCACATCCACACAGCCTTCACATCCCTCCAGGGATCCCATCCCATCCTGTACCCAATATCCAAGCTGAACCTCCTCTGCCACAGCCCCTTGGCCCATCCCCTGTTCCCTGGGAGCAGGGCCTGTCCCCCCACAGCTGCACCCTCCTGCCAGGCAGGGTCCTGCTCCTTCAGCTGGGCAGTGATTGTCCTGGAACCCACACAGGGCAGGAGGGAACCCACACAGGGCAGGGGATGTGGAATTCAGACAGTGCAGAGGATGTGGAACCCACACAGGGCAGGGGATGTGGAATGCACACAGGGCAGGGGATGTGGAACCCACACAGGGCAGGGGATGTGATGTGGAATTCAGGAGGGACATCCACCCACCAGTCCCTGGCACTGCCACAGCTCAGAGGCAGCAACCACTGGGAAGATTTTGCTTCTCTTCTGTTTTCATAGAATCATGGAACCACAGGATGGCCATACAACAAAGCTCAATTAAAACATGCTCATATTTGGGAAAACCTTATTTCCAACCTTTTCAAAGCAATCCTGTTGACGTGGGTAGCAATGCTCCTGGCTGGGGACCCTCAGTGCCTCGGTCTGTCCCTCATGGCCCAGCCACCACAGAGGCACTGTCCCTGTGCAGGCTCAGCAGGGCTGGGCACCTGCAAGGAGAGAGCAACCATGAATTACAGCAGCAAAGCAGCAACAGAGCCAACCTCCACAACAACACTGTGATAACAAAAAAGCCTGGTTTAGATTCTAGAAGCAAAAGCCTGAATCTACCCGGGAGAAAAGAGCCAAGGGAGGCAGCGGCTCTGGGGGTACAAAAATGGGACACAAGGCTGGGAGAGGGCTGGAGTCTGGGAGGGCAGAGCTGCTGAGAGCCAGAGAAATCATGAAAGACATTGGGCCAGAGGGGAGGAGGGAGGCTGAGACCTAGAGAAACAAGTGGGAGAATAAAATAACACTCCTGATATTAATTGTCCAAACCAAGGTGGTACAAACAGTCTCAGTTCTGCTGTTTCTCAGGCTGGTGCCTGACTTTGTAGCCTGGAAATTTCTATAAAAAGAAACACGTTTGATTGGGCAAAGAAATAGAAATGAATTCAATTTTAAAGATATTGCCTGAGAAATCTGTAACATGAGTACGTGTTCTTTGCATTTAAGATTCTTGCTGCTTTGTGCAAGCAGACACAACACACCAATGGAGATTTTAAACCCCTTTCTTAACTGATAAAAAATGGGGCAGCCTGTAGCCACAGGCACAGAGCTGTACCTGCTGCAGCAAATGAGCCCTTTGTGCACATTACAATTATTTTCTTAGAGGATTCCCTCCAGAGGCAGAGGCAGAGTGAGCCAGGTTAGCAACCAACAAGCTTGAACTGCTTCCACATGAATGGCAGACAAATGATCATTTGAATGGTACAGGGATTTGAGAGAGTAATTGCTGACAGGATTCCTTTGACACATGAGGGCTGCGAGAATTTACATCTGTGTGCTCACAGAAAAGAAAACTCAGGAGCTGGTACTGGGGAGCAGAGTTTGCTGGGTGGGGATTCTGTCTGAGGTCCATTTGTAGAGCACAGATGCTGATACTTAGGGTGTTGCAGCTTTTTTATTTTCTTTCAAATTTTACGAAGGTTTAACGGTGTGAATTGACACGCTTCATGCCAAGCAGCTCTTGGCTCATTGAACTCCAGCTGCTGGCCCTGCACAGGGCAGGCCAGGAGCGAGCACTGTGCCCACTAGACCATGTCACAAATGTCCAGCCCTGAGGAGGTGATGGTGGAGCCTCCCCTTGCACAGCAGTGGGGATGTGGTGAAGGACGGCAGAGCCCAGGTGATGCTGCAGCCAGGTGTGTATATGTATACACATATATATATTTATACATTTTATATATATGTGTATATGTGTGGTGCTGGGGCCAGCAGAGCTCAGCCCTGGCAGCTGCCCCAGCAGAGCTGGACTGGCTGGTTGCTGTTCCCAGGGTGAGAATGGAAGCAGGGCTGAGCAGGGCACAGCAGCTCCCAGTGACAGCCACGACCTTGTGTGAGTGTGCAGGGGCACAAGTGCCATTGTTGGAGCCACAACAGTGGGGGCTTGTGCTCCCACCAGCGTGGCCCTGCAGCAGGAGCAGCCCTGGGCACAGGGGCCAGCTGGGACAGGGCAATGTTTATCCCAAATACTGGAGCAAAACACGGCACAGAAGGGTTCCCCAGGCAGAAGCAGGCAGGAGATGGCTCCTCCCGGGCTGAGGGGACACAGAGCTGCTGCTCCAGGCTCTGCTCTGACCCTGGGGAGGTCCCTGAGCACAGACCCTCAGCAGGGCCCATCCTGCAGGGCACAGAGCAGCTCCCCCTCCCCACGGTGCTGGGCATGGACACATTCCCTGGAAAACCAGACACCTGCCCCGGGACTCTGCCTTGATTCTCCCCATGAGTTACATAGAAGGGGCAGCTATCAGACACACCACCTTAATAGGACAGAAAGGTCATGATATTTCTGATGCTGGGAGAATAGATTATGCATCTGATTCCTGGCATGTTTGATATTGAAAACAGCATCAATAATGCATCAGAGCTGCCTTGAGCAGGGCTCAGCGCTCCCTTTGCCTCCTGACTTGCAATTCAGACATCAAGACTAATTGGGAAATGTGTTTTCTAGGTAGTAGTTGCAGAAATGAATGTTGCACCATGCTTAAAAATAAGTGAATTAATCCCTACCCAAAGTACCAATATTTGAAAGCAGAACACTGTTCTTACAAATATGGAACATTTCCAATGCCTGCCTCAGCCCTGTGAGCACTGGTGTTCTCTGTTTTTGACAAATTGTTCTGACTTATTAGTTTAAACAAACCTTTTTGAGCCTCTGGTGCACCTCAAAATACTATGATAGAAAACGTAATGGTTGAGTTCCCACTTTTTCATATGAGTAATGTCCACATTGCATTTAGGATTGCACCAGCCTAGAGATCCAAATGCAAGAAAATGAGTTTTCCTCTGCAAAGGAATTTCATGCTAAGCCATGCAATCGTGTCCCATGCTGGAGCTGTTCTTTTGGGCTTTATCCATATAAACATTTGTCATATAACCATATAAACATTTGTCATATATCCATATAACCCGTGCATCACTCACTCAGCTCCAAGGTGAGAAGGAAACCTGTTGGGAATTGCATGGGAAAAGGAGTGAGCAGGCCGAGACAGGAACTGTCCTGCACACAGGGCTCTGTTGTGCATTTCCTTCAGATCCATGCAGATCCCATGGATTCACAGGCAGAATCCAACCAAGGGATCCCTGGGGCTGGAAAAGCCCTCCCAGCCCAAGCTGTGCCCATCCCCACCCTGTCCCCAGCTCTGAGTGCCACCCCCAGGTGCCACCTGCAGGGATGGGCACTGCAACCCTCCCTGGGCAGTTCCTGAGCCCCCTTTGCATGGGGAAATTCCTGCTGTGCCCACCCTGAGCTGCCCTGGCCCAGCCTGAGGCCGTTCCCTCTGCTCCTGTCCCTGTGCCCTGGAGCAGAGCCCGACCCCCCCGGCTGTGCCCTCCTGGCAGGAGCTGTGCAGAGCCACAAGGGCCCCTGAGCCTCCTTTGCTCCAGGCTGAGCCCCTGCCCGGCCCCCTCAGGGATTCTGCAGCCCCTGCCCGGCTCCCTCAGGGATTCTGCAGCCCCTGCCCAGCTCCCTCAGGGATTCTGCAGCCCCTGCCCAGCTCCTCAGGGATTCTGCAGCCCCTGCCCAGCTCCCTCAGGGATTCTGCAGCCCCTGCCCAGCTCCTCAGGGATTCTGCAGCCCCTGCCCGGCTCCCTCAGGGATTCTGCAGCCCCTGCCCGGCTCCCTCAGGGATTCTGCAGCCCCTGCCCGGCTCCCTCAGGGATTCTCCAGCCCCTGCCCGGCTCCCTCAGGGATTCTGCAGCCCCTTCCCGGCTCCCTCAGGGATTCTGCAGCCCTGCCCGGCTCCCTCAGGGATTCTGCAGCCCCTGCCCAGCTCCCTCAGGGATTCTGCAGCCCCTGCCCGGCTCCCTCAGGGATTCTGCAGCCCCTTCCCAGCTCCCTCAGGGATTCTGCAGCCCCTGCCCAGCTCCCTCAGGGATTCTGCAGCCCCTGCCCGGCTCCCTCAGGGATTCTCCAGCCCCTGCCCAGCTCCCTCAGGGATTCTGCAGCCCCTGCCCGGCTCCCTCAGCCCCTCCTGGGGCTCCAACCCCTTCCCAGCACCATGCCCTTCCCTGGACATCCTATGAGGATTTTTTTCTCTGTGCTGTTTAGATTGAGACTAATTTGATAAAATTATTTTTTTAAATTATTTTAAATTTAAAATAGTTTTTAAAATTATTTTTGGTGACCCAAGCCAGACCT